CCGGTCTGTATGTGGGATCCGACCCCTCGGCGGGAGCGCCGCTGCGCTCCCAAGAGGCGCACTGTAGCAGTGTGCCACTGGGCCGGCCCCTCCTTCTTCTCTTTAGGTTTTGGTTTTTAAATTTCAATTTTCATATCCTATAACTCTATAATTGCCTCTTTAAGAAGCATATAAGATGAAGCAAGCAAAGAAAATGATGTCCAGTTTTAAAAGTCATAAGGTCATGTATGTGAAAATGCTTTGGAGATTGAAGTACTTTATGTATGGTATGACCGCTATTATTAACTGAGAAGCCTAGGGATANCATGTATGTGAAAATGCTTTGGAGATTGAAGTACTTTATGTATGGTATGGCCGCTATTATTAACTGAGAAGCCTAGGGATAATTCATTTAAATATTGAACGCTTTGGAAAATGTTTAAATGAGGTGATTAAACTGTCTTCTCCAGCACTAATAGTACAACTCTGTTTTCAGAGAAATCTGGTTTCTATTGCTATCAAGTTTGGAGAGTCAGTCATTACAGTCATTAAAAAATACCAAGTATTTCACAAGGAAAGTCTGATATGCATTACAAATAACTAATGGTCATTCTGGAAGATAACAGGGCAACTGAGAAAACTTGTGAAAGTTGTACAATTTTTAAAAGTAATGATATGAATTTGAACTATTTCTTGCCTTTATATTGCCTATTCTGCAGAACAAACTTATGCAAATGGCTGAGTCAATTTTGTGTATCAAGTCAAATTTTATGGAAAACACAGTTTACGTATCCAGAAAACTGAAACCTTCATTGTCACTTAGAAAACTGTGGAGAGATCCACCATGTATTCATCACCTCAAGCAACCCCATGCTCAAAAATAAACATACTTCACTGAGCAGGAGACTGAGCAGGAAAAGTGGGTTAGGTAAAGAGAACACCCATGCTGAGAAAAAGACCATCCCAACCACTGTACAGTTTAAAAGGTTGCATTTTATGGTATGTGAACTATATTTGAATTGAAAAAAGAGAAGGAAAAAAGAGCACTAGGTAACTGAAGTGCTCTAGGCAGAAGCTCACGTTCATCCCCTCTGGAATCTCCTTTCACTAGAGCCTGCCCTTCTGTTTCTGCTCTTCCTCCTCCGCCCATGTGGCCTCGTGGAATATTGCCATGAACTCCAAGATTCTCATGTACCCCACTGATCTTTGGGCACAGGAAGTTGCACTTGACTTTCTCAGTCACATTCCCATTGAGTATTGGTACTTCCATCTCCCTCTGCCTCCTTTTCCTCTTTTTTAGGAGGAGAGGAAGTTTTTATTCCATGAAGTTTTCACAGCCCGACAAGCTCTCTGAGACAAAGGAAAGGGAATGAACATTTGTCAACTGCCTAGTAAGCGTCAGGGCCTCTGCTGAGTCCCAAATTTCTGTTATCCTATTGAGTCTCATGACTACTCTTAAGGTCGAGATTCTTTTTTTTTTTTTTTCCTTTTTTTTTGTCTTTTTTTTCGTATCCGGCAACGGACCGCAACCCTCAGTGTCGCGCCTGTACCGGACCGGGACCGGCAACGGGATCGCAACCCTCAGTGT